TCTGTAATCTGTAATGGAATACATTTTAAAAGTAACCTTCCCAACACTGCCCATACATTAAATAAACATGTTTAATCTACTTGGACTGAATTATGTGTCATGAATGTTTAAAGCAATTAAATATATTTTGACTAGTGCTGTCAGCGTTAATTTCGTTAAAATGATGTTAACTCCATAACCGCATTAAAGCGGGGGCTGCACAGCGTTAACACGTTAACAAGCTAACTGTGCTAACGCGTTGATGCAGTGCAGCTCCATGCACGGGGCGATCCGCCTTAACTCGCTAACGGAGATTTGCCACATTAATGCAGTTATGGCATTAATGTCATTTTAACCAGATTAACGCTGACAGCACTAGTTTTGACATTATTTTCTCTTAAATTTACATTTGCAAATTGGTCTCTATAACAAGATGAATTCTCAATTTGGGATCTCTATTATTATTTATTTCCATTCATTCACAACATGTAACAAGTTTCAGATAAATAATATTAAATTATGTAAACATCCCTGTGTGCATAATATACTTGGAAATTGTCAGGGTCCTGGGTGTGACCCAGCGTTTTGTGTTGTTTATAATCTATTCCAGTATTTATTGTTCTCTGTGTGTAGAAAAGCCTGTGTTAGTGTGAACTACATTACCCAGCAGCCTCTGGGCAGTGATGGGATTCATGGGACTTCTGAGCTAGATGGTCTTCGTTTGTTCCTGGGCTAACGATTGAGGGGAGAGCTGCTTGGAAGGGAAGCAAATAGCCCATCCTATATTTGTTGGGGATGGTGTGCATCACATAAACGTGAGTTAATGTTCCATGCTTAAGATAGTTACACTGCTACTTGTGTGTATTGGTTTTAGTTACCTTTAGCATATGTGCTAGTTAGCGATAACAATGGCAGCCCAGTTATTTGATTGTTTTGGGCTTGTTACAGCTTTGTTTGTTCACTCTGCCAATTTATGTGAATTTGTATACTGTAGTATCACTGTATTACGTAGTGGCTAAGTAGGGGGCTGACTGTTTACTAAGTGCATCAGTGTAAATAGGTCATCTCTTGTGTTGGAGTGGCGCCTTTTGGGTAGTGCCTTAGTAAACGTGAACCCTGTAAGAAGTGGTATCAGACTGATTTGTAGTGGAGGAATTTGTTGCCAGTTTTCATAATCTTTAATCTGTATTCATGTTGTAATGCATACCCTGTTCTTAATCATAGAAACCACACCATATCACC